CTGTGGGTCCGGGGGGGGTGTGGGCCCGGGGTGGCTTCTCTGATGGTGTGGGGAAAGCAGGACTCTAGTTCCCTGACCCCCTGCTCTGAGGGGCTCCCAGCAGCGCCCAGGACAGGGGTCCTCAGGCCCCTTCCCGGCTCTGCAGGTGGCCCTGTGCTCAGCTGCACACGGATGTGCTGGTCCAGGTAGTTCCCGTGCTGAGCTCCACGGTGATGCCTCCCGGGGCCTGAGACTGTGGCTGGGGTGGTTCACCATCCAGCTTCCCCTCCTGTGTGTCCGCGTCTCTCGGGCGAGGCCGTGGAGCTCTGGGCCCGTTGCAGATGGGCCCCGGGTCCCTGTTCCACCCCCTGAAGCCCCCGCTGGAGAAGACACAGCCGCCGGTGCTCAGGGGGGCCCACGTGTTTCTTCAGCAGAAGAGCCCCCTCAGCAACGGCGGGGCCATGTGAGTCCTGGGGGGCTGTGGGTCCGGAGGGAGGGTCTGGGGGGGTGTGGGTCCTGGGCTGGCCATGTGAGTCCTGGGTGGGGCTGTGACAGCCTTTCCTGTCAGTGGCTCAACAGCCTCTCTCGCAGGGCTCCTGCAGCTGTTGGCTTCCGAAGCAGCTGTTCTTGAGACGCATTGGCAAGGCCTTTGTCACGTGACTCGCCACAGCCGCCCAAACCCAGCTGGTGGCCAGGCCAGGCTTCAGCGAGGGCAGGGTCCGCTCAGGCCCCCCCTCCCCCCCCCGCTCCCCTCGCGGGGCCAGCTGAGGTCCCTGACGGCAAACGCCCCGTTGCTCCAGGCAGGGCCCGGGCTCTTCTCCCCCCGCAGGGCTGGTCCCCACCTGCCGTCTGGGGAGGGCGTGCACGCGGGGCCGTGGTCCTCCCTCGCCTCCCACGTTCTCCACCTGCAGCTGTGAAGTCAGCTGTGGGCCTGTGGACTGTTACGCAGGAAGCTTTCGCTCAGTGACCATCTGCCAGGACTTAGTGGGGTGTCACTTCTCGAGTTTAGGGGCTAGCCTGGCGGCTTTTGCAGCCGGGGGCCCAGGCTTCCCTTGGGTGGGTGACTGGGGTTCCTGTCCGCCATCCACTGAGCCCAGTCTTGGTCCCTGTCTCCTGGTGGGCCCGCTTGGAGTGCCTGCACTCCTGCCACACCCTCGGGCTCCCTCCTCCTCCTGATGGGGGAGCTGCCTGGCAGCTGGCCCAGCTGCTGTGGAGCTGACAGGACAGCCTGTCCCCCACAGACAAACCCCAGAGGGCGACCTCAAGGAGTCCATTTCCGGGGGCGCCCAGAGGGCCCAGGAGGTGCCACACGCTGCCAGGGCCCCCCTGGAACGAGGCCACTCGACAGAGATCCCAGTGGTGCAGCCAGGAAAACCGGTGAGGAGGAAGGGGGACGGGATGGGGTGGGGGAGGCAGGGCAGGAGAGAAGGTGGGAGTGGGATTTGCTGGGTGTGACCGGGAGCTGCTGTACCCCAGGCTGTGGATGTCCAGATGCAGAGCATGGCCCTGAGGGGCCCTGACGGGGAGCCCCAGCCCGGGCTGGAGAGCCAGGGCCGAGCGGCCTCCATGCCTCGCCTGGCAGCGGAGTCACAGGTGGGTGGTCTGGGGATGCCGCTAGGGGGGAGGGGAGGCCTGGCGGAGGGGCTGGGTCCGTTGGGTGGAGCCTCTGCCCTGTGCTGCAGCCTGGACACTGTCAGGCCCGCGGGGCGCCCCACGTGCCACGCTGCTTCCCGTGGTGCAGCCAGGCCACCAGGAGTCCCCACCCCCCAGCAGTGGGCACAGCGTCCCGCCCCACTTTCTCTCTCTGGGACGCCCCTCCACCCCACCCCCACGCTCCCCCAGGAAATGCCTGATCCTCCCCTCCGTCCTGCTCCCCGTGTCCTGAGTCCTGGAGGCTGAGGGGTCCAGCCTGGCCTTTCTCTGGACGTTGGGTGCAGGGGCTGTGGGGACAGGTTTGGGGACCGAGCAGGAAGCCCAGGCTATGTGTCCCGGGCTGAGCCCTGCACAAGGACACGGAGGGGGTGCAGGCCCAAGGCTGGGCCAGGGACACTGCTGCCACTTGCCGGGCAGGCG